GATTGACATAGCAACATGGTTTAATTTCAGAATAATTCTTCCTAGTGAAAGAAACCAGAAAAGAATTTCATACTATATGATTCCACTTAATAGAAAATTCTAGAAAATGAAATTCTAGAAAATTCTAGAAATTCTGGAAAATTCTCTCTATATTGAGAGAAAGATCAGGGGGTAGGAAGGAGTGTAGAGAGGGATTGCAAAAGAGCACAAGGAAACTTTTGGGGATGATCAATATGGTCATTATCTTGATTATTACAATGACTTTATACATGTCAAATCTTATCAAACTGTACACTTGAGTTATGTGCAATGAACTGTATGTCAATTATATCTCAGTACAGCTGGAAATGTAAAAAAAGAAATGTTGACACAGATCAGAAGGAAATTTTATATACACATCTGGAAACAAGTTTTTACTTAGTAAAACAATGTTATTTTTATGAAGGAAGACCTCAAAGAAGAAATATAAGAACTTAGGAAGAGATGTTGAAATAGCAAGAGACAATGAAAATGAAACATGATTTGGTAGAACTCAAGGAAGAAATAGAAAAAATAAATCATACAACTGGAAAGAATACAAAGGCAGATCATCACTCTGATAAACCCAGTGGGGATATAGAGCAGGAGTCAGCTATTACCCATTGACCAAATCTAGCCCACTACCTATTTATGTATGGCCCTTAAGCTAAAAATGATTTTTACATTATTGGATAATTGAAAAAAGAAGAATATGTAACAGGGACTGTATGTGGTCTACAAAGTCTAAAATATTTGCTGTCTAGATCTTCACAGAAAAAGTTTGCTATCTATCCCCTGCTATAGAGGATAAAAAGCAAATAAAATGAATAGAAATTAGGAAGGACTTCTTATAATTACAAAGAAAATGATAATAGAAGTAGGAAAAGGAGATTCAGTATTTGCATAATTGGAATATTGAAAGAAAAAGTAAGGGAAGAACACATTTTTAAAGATAAGTGGTCCATATATACAATGGAATATTACTCAGCCATCAGAAAGGATGAATACCCAACTTTTACATCAACATGGATGGGACTGGAGGAGATTATGCT